CACCCCAAGGTTTAGGCTACGTCCACACTGATATTGTATTTCTGAGGGGGAGAGAGAGAGAGCTTGAGGGGGTGAGGAGCCTTAGGAATTTGCATCCCTTAATTGTGAAGGTGAAGAGTCCTTTTATAGAATAAGGGCTCCTTACTTATTACATATTTGTCCCTTCCTTTATTACATAATTATATTTGAGTCCCCCGAGTATTTATAAGAGATCTAAATACGGAAGCCCTAAGTATGGTATAAACAGTAGTCCCCCAAGTCTTCAGTCAAGAGAGTATTTTGGCTTGAGATTTGAAATTTAGTCCATGTGTGGGCCGAAGTAACTAGATGTTGCCTTGAACTGGTACTTTATATGAGGCGGTGCTCAAAGTGAAATGATGCTCAACTATAAGTAGCACATGTTGCGAGGCTGCTCGGTTTATGGCTTATGTTGCCTTGGTTGGCTCGGTTTGTGGCGCTTGAAGGTGAGGGGGTCCCTTTTATAGAATAAGGGTTCACTCCTCAATACATAAATGATGGGCTAGAGTTGATGCTCGCGGTGAGGCGGTTGCTCAGTAGGCGGCGATGCTCTCTAATGGTGGTGAGGGAGTCTCTTTTATAGAATAAGGGCTCGCTCCTTAATACATAAGTGATGGGTTAGGAGTGATGCTCGCGGCGAGGTGGTTGCTCAGCTGGCAGCGTTGCTCTCTAATGAAGGTGAGGGAGTCCCTTTTATAAAATAAGGGCTCGCTCCTCAGTACATGAATAACGGGTGCTCTCTAATGAAAGTGAGGGAGTCCCTTTTATAGAATAAGGGTTCGCTCCTTAATACATAAATAATGGGCTAAGTCCCCCAAGTATTTTTCATGAGGCCCAGTTAAGGCTCAATATATGGTACATAATGTAGTCCCCCAAGTCTTTGGTCAATAGAGTCTGTTGGCTGGAGACTTCAAATTGAATCCATGTATGGGCCGAAGTAGCGGTTGTTCGAAGGCGGTATTCGTATACCCTGCACTGAAGCTTTCTAGGTGAAGCTTTGCAAGTGAAGCTTTGCAAGTGAAGCTTTTGAAGCTGGAGCTTTTGTAAATGATGCTTTGAAAGCTGGAGCTCTGTAAATGAAGCTTTTGAAGCTAGAGCTCTGTAAATCAAACTTTCGAAGTTGGAGCTCTGTAAATGAAGCTTTTGAAGCTGATTGACATGAGTGGTGTTCATGAATGTTTATATTGATTGACATGAGTGATGCTCATGGATGTTGACATGAGTGATGCTCATGAATGTTTATGTATGATTGATATGAGTAATGCTCATGAATGTTTATGTATGATTGTCATGAGTAATGCTCATGTATAATTTAGAGTACTGGGCGTACTTTTGATCACCTAGTTGGTGGCATGAAGGAGAGTACGGGTTGTACATTTCATCACCTGGTTGGTGGCATGAATGGCTAGTTGCCAAATGATATTAAAGTATGGGTTGTACTTTTATCACCTGGTTTGTGGTAATAGCGGCAGGTTGCCGAATAATTTTAGAGTATTGGGCGTACTTTTGGTCACCTGGTTGGTGGCATGAAGGAGAGTACGGGTTGTACATTTCATCACCTAGTTGGTGGCATGAATGGCTAGTTGCCAAATGATATTAGAGTACGGGTTGTACTTTTGATCACCTGGTTTGTGGTAATAGCGGCAGATTGCTGAATAATTTTGGAGTACTGGGCGTACTTTTGGTCACCTGGTTGGTGGCATGAAGGAGAGTATGGGTTGTACATTTCATCACCTGGTTGGTGGCATGAATAGCTAGTTAGGGCCTGGCTCTTTTGGGCATATGGGCCTTCGCCTTCCACATGACATTGCAGCCCATTTATTTTAGGCTTTGCCGTTTTTTTTTTCTTTTACCCTCTGATGGGGTTTATACAGATATCTCCGAAAGATACGAAAAATAAATTACATCATTAAAAAATAAGGAAAGTAAACCACATCACTCTGGTGGGGTGTTTATTCCTAGCTTTTGCAGTGTGGGTGTTTATTCATTGCTTTTGCTTGTGTTTTTCTGCTGCACTCTCTCTGTCTCTTCATCTGGCAGACAGAAGGAATCATAATAATACGAAGATCTTTTGTTTTTCTTCTTTTCTCTCCACTGCGTCTCTGTCTTTTGTTTTTGTGCCGCAGCTCACTTGATTGTTTTCCTTTCTGCTTTCTTCTTTTGCTTTTCTCTTTTCTGTTGCACGCTATCTGTCTCTTTCCACCTTCATTTATGCTTTAATTATTATGTTGTTGCTCCTTTAGCACTCATTTCCTTTTACTCTTCCCTCAATAAAGCTAGCAATAGCACTAGTGTCCAATCCATTTGGATCTGTCGAGGCAGAAAGTGCTTCGAAAATCATTGCATTGCACACTGGGGCAGGTATTACATTAGATGAGCCTGTCGAGGAATTATCCGCAACTGGAGTTGTATCGCGTCTGACCGAAGTTTCTGTTAATGCTTACGGAGGAGAATTTCGACCTGCTGTTGTTGCTGAGCCATTTGCATGGAGGACACTGTGCCTTCATACGCCAATGTCGACATGCCCTGTCTTTGCTTATGCTTGGGGTTGGCTGTGCAAATCACGAAAACAAGCCCGCGACGCTTAACTGTCTTACAAAACTCACACATCTTCTTCACAGATGAACGCACCTTCATGGCTACCCTCGCGGAGGGCATCAGCATCTGGGTAGAAGAAGAGGCGGTGAACGGCCCAGTTAAGAGTGTCTTTGAGGGCTCGCCTGTAGAGGATCTGAACCTTCTCCTTCTGAGCTGCTTGACGAGCTACGTACACTACTGTTGAAACTCCGCTCATCAATCAAGGCAGAGAGACAAGACAAAGAGATGAGAGATTTGATTCCCTGAATCTGCCTTGCTAGATTTGCCAGAACCAGTGCCTTTCTTGCCGGAGATGGAGTCGTCGAAAGAGATCAGGCGGTGCTTGTAGATGCGGTTGGTGGGTTCCGGGATCCATACCCGAGAGAGATTGGATCGGAGCAGGTCCATGGGGTCGAGCATCGCTCTCTGTGTCTTTGTGGGTTTTTACAGATTTTGCGAATTTTGCAGATTTTGCATATTCACGGCGGAGGTGAAAAAATGAAAAAAAAACCGACACAACTTTTAGTATCGATTCCCACAAACGACGCCAAATGTTAATGCACAAAACCGAAGGTCTTGGAACAACATAAATCCGACCGTGAATCTGCAAGTAATGTAAATAACACAAGGGTTATCATGGTTCACCCCAAGGTTTGGGCTACGTCCACACTGATATTGTATTTCTAAGGGGGGGGAGAGAGAGAGCTTGAGGGGGTGAGGAGCCTTAGGAATTGGCCTCCCCTAATTGTGAGGGTGAGGAGTCCTTTTATAGAATAAGGGTTCCTCACTTATTACATAGTTGCCCCTTCCTTTATTACATAATTATATTTGAGTCCTCCGAGTATTTATACGATATCTAAATACGGAGGCCCTAAGTATGGTATAAACAATTCCCTTTCATTTCATCTCATACCCGATGCGTAAACACGCCATTAGTGAGGGACAAAATGACTTGTTTACCTTCAAAAGTTTTTCACATAGACAACACTTGACTAAGATGGAAGAATGTTTGATGGACAATTCGAAATTCTAAAAGTATGATAAACTTAGCTAACTATATAAGTTCAGTGGATAATTGACTAAAATAAAAATAAATTGCCAATGCCTTGCAAGTTCTGAAAAAAAATTGACGAATATTACCTCTAATATAAAAAAAATCAGTTGGATAGGAAACAAGCATATGCATGATTGGTCATGTTATTTTTATCACCTAAATATACAAAAATTTGTACCATATGATATGGCAGATTATCTGACTCGCCACGTCAATTAAAAACAATTCCTTAATAAATAAAAATTTTGAAATTAATCCGACCCTGATTTTAGGTTCTTTTGTTTCTCCCATTCCTGCCTCCTCCTCCCTCTTCCGTCGCCGTTATTGGCACCTAATTGCTTCTCACTGCTCCACTGATTTTTCAGGGAATCTAAGGAAATTAATTAGGGCCACTTATTTTATTCACGTGCACCTTGTTTGAAATTAATTAATTTTTTTTTTCAAGGGAAAGCGTTGTATTGATTCTAATCAACTCATAAAGAGCTATATATGTCTGGGAGGAGAACATCCTGAATGAGAGTAGGAGGCTTCTCAATCCAAATTAAATTATTGTTACTAGTCAAAGCAAACTTTGCAAGACGATGGGCAACCACGTCATATAAACGAGAACATGAATAAAATTCAAAATAGAGAAGGAGGATGCAACCTGCAAAACATCATCCGCAATCAAACCTATTGCTGACGAGTCTGAATAGGTCCTATTACGTGTTTGTAGTGGCCTTCATGAACTCACTCTCCACCACAACCTGATCAAGACCCTGCTGATGGATTAGTTGGATGCCGTGACTCACAGCAAACAGCTTCAGGAGCGGCACAGATGAGATGCCTGGATATTGCCACACCCCAGCCGCCAAAAAACCCCCCACCAATCCCATATCACAGCTCCAACACCACCCAGCTTGGTATTGACTTGTGTAGCTCTTCATGAGTTTCTCCAATATTTAACATATGTGTTAGAAATGTCAACGATATATATCGATTTAGTCTAAATTTGAGAGTTTCTCCGATATGAGTTGAAGTTTAGACTTCACTCTCCATTTCCATATCTTTATCTGGTTCTTTGGATATTTCCAAGGACATATAGACCGTGTCGAAGAAATTTTAAACACTAGTACCAGACCGTTTTCCTGCCACACTGAAAAGTGTGTGAAAGACTCAAACGACTATAGCAAACTTCTCAGACACTGATCACAATCAGTCATTTTTAACTCTTGCAAGTATAAGGTCTTAATTCATTTTCCTTAGACAATGAGTACAATTGTAATTTATAGCCAACCCGTTATGTGACTTATTAATCCGAGTCTCCACCCTCCACCAAAAACATGAAACCAATACAAATATGAAATATGGAAACACTGAATGGGGAAGAACAATAATGAGAGGCCAATCGAATTATGCAACTACTTTCCCCCTTCCTTCTACTATCTTACAATTTATGAAAATAGGAGCTGTTCTATGTTACAAATCAAAATTGAGGTGGGGTTGCAAATATACCACATCTAGTTTTCTCAAATGCTCAATTAGGATGAGCTTCTCAGCTCCTAACCAAATGACAACAAAAAATGCACAAGCCTTATATATATCTATCTCCCTTTCTACGCAAACCATTTCACTTGGTCGCGTTTATGAAACTTTCCGTTTCGAATGAATTAGCCGTTGGGGAAAACCACCCGTTGAATCCAAATAGCGAGCCCGGTCCCCAAGCATGCCATTACGTGTTGAGTGTGTCCCCGTGACGTGTGACGACATTTGTGTTTGAGACGTCTTTCTAGCTTTTGCTCTAGTGCTTGATCACATGAATGCAGCTAGAAAACTCAAAAACTGTCTAAGGTGCCCGGAAGCCTTTGTAGCTTTTGCTCTAGTGTGGTCCTATCAAGGGTTTGCCCACACCAGAGTCACGAGGTGAAGTGTGCCCATTTGAGTTGTTCAATATGGAATGACATACGGCAGGGCATGAATATCAGCCGACTCTATCCGCAGAACCTCTGACCATACCTCAGGTGTCTCCTCAAACCCTGAAGATTCCGCCTTGGGTTTCTTTGATTGGGCATCACTGCACCCAAACAACCAATCTTGATCGTCATGATCCGGCACTTCGTCCAACTTCGGAACCAAATAAACATGGCTTAGATATCTGGAATCCGGATGGGGTGGTCTCATGCATGCTTCAGCAACAGGAACAACCTGTGTAGCTGTAGATGTCGGCTTTGCAGTGGAGACAGCCAATGACGGAGCTTCAACAATGCCATTTATCTTGCAGTCCTTAATGTCCACCTTAACGTTATTTGCAGCACCCAGCGTATCTGAAACATATGGGATGGAAGTTTGGCAAGATTCCAGTGTTCTCCCATTTACAGGCAATGAATGAGAGGAAGAGGAAGGTCTCAACAGTTTACTGGGCCTAATATCATTGGCTGTAAGATCAGAAAAGGAAGCATCATTAGTCAGCTAAGAATAAAAATTACCAAAGCTTGAACCTGCTTGACAAAATTGATTCAAGAGCACTGCCAATTGACTGATACCAAACTGGAAAACAACAATATTCGGAATCAAAGGAAGCAGAGGATAGCAGAATCCAGCTTTAGTTCCAAAAAGTGCACCTACAACCTTCCTCAGTTGTGCAAAAAGAGCCCAACTTGTGCTAGACAACTACATAGCATGATTGGGATCCAACGATGATACTTAGCGTCATAAAAAAGAACTCACCATGCACAATTCCATTCGTCTGTATGTCCTTTCTTTTCTTCAGATTTCCATCAGCACCAGCACTTTTGTTGCTGTCCTTCGAAAGTTGGGAGGTTTTGACACTATGGGAATCTATGTGATCCTCTTTATCGCTCTTTCTTAATTTATCAGGCTTTGCATTCTTAGTTTCATTTTTCTCCTTTGCTTTCTCTTCCTTTTTCTCCTCTTTGTCTGGCTCTCCATTCTTGGATTCATTTTTCTCCTTTGCTTTCGCTTCCTTTTTCTTCTCTTTAACTTTGTCCTTGTCTCTCCCTTGTTTTTTCTTCTCTCTATCTTTTTCCTTGCGTTTTTCTCCTCGTTTATCATCACCTTCCTTCTCTTTGGCCTTTTCTTTTCCATCAATATCTCTATCCATGTTGCTTGCCAATGGTCTGGAAAGTCCTTCAACTTTAGGTTCAACGACACCAACAAGGTTCTGAACCATCGTGTTCCCACTAATCTGTGCTGCACCCCTGACTCCTTGCCCATATGTCCTTCTGTCATCAACTCTCCTGTCCTTGTTCTTTTCCTTAACTTCGGCCAAAATGTCAGTACCCTCGGCCAGCAATCTGACCATCCCCTCATCCTTCTTTCGGTCTGATTCAGTAATCTTCCCAACCAGATGGTTACTGATTGCCCTGGCCTCATCTTTACTCCTCCTACCCAACTCCACCAATACAGAATTCTGGTTTTGCTCAGCCGGATGACAGTACTGACTGAGTTTCTCTGCCTGATGACCTCCAATTTGCCCCGTATATCTCTTGTCAATACAGTTGCCCTTGTACTCTTTCTGAATGTATCTCTCTTCACCATGACCCTCGGTCTTTCCTGGAACTCTCTTCTCGTCTGAAGTACTTGTTTTGTCTTTAACCAGGTCCCTATCTTTCTCCTTATCCTTCTTTTTGTCTTTCTTTTTTTCCTTCTTGTCTTTCTTTTCCCGATGCTTTCCTTCACTTTTATCTTTACTCTCTCTCTTCTCTTTGTCCTTCTTTTCCTTTTTATGCTTCTTTTCTCTGTGTTTCTCCTGTAATTATTGAAAAGTTATAAAAGAATAACTGGTAAGGATATATAATCAAGGTAATCATATCTACTGCTGTAATAGATACAAATAAATAAAGAGGCTTCAGGGAATCCATACTGATTAAATAGATAATAAGGACTGACTTGCGAGAAATACCACAGAAAACAACCAAATCTAAACCTGAGTGAATTCTTTCAGTCTTTGGACAATATACTATTGATGTCTACTGATATGTCCACCGTCCAAACGTACCCCATACCAGTAAAGATCCTTGCTTTCCTTTTCAAAAGATCCCAAAAACCAGAAAAGAACAAAGGATAACAAATGCTCACAGTTTTCAAATAGTTTTGGCACTTAAACTATCAAATACATAGTTTTTGAAGAAATAAAACATTCTGTGAATGGTAGTTTTTGAAGAAATAAAACATTCTGTGAATGGTACACGAAAAGTGAAATAAACCTACCATCACTCGCTTGAAAATTAAAAAAAAAACTTTGTTTTATACATGGGAAGTGTTATTGGCACTCCAAAAATCTCATTCTACACTCCTCACAAGTGTATTTTTCTTTCTAAAAAGTTTGGAGTGTAGAATGAGAAATTTGGAGTGCCAATAACAATTCCCTTGTACATAACCGGAAGGGGAAAGAAAAAAAAATTAAAAAATATTTTTTAGGTAATAGAAATTACAATTAAATGACATGTACAAAGCAGTGTCACTAGTGCATCGGAAGCGCAAAATTGTACTATGCCAACAACCACCACCCACCAAATCATTGCAACATAAGAACCACCATAAAATTGTTTCCTCACAAATAAAATTTCAGAACTTAAATAGGAGAAGAGAATACTAGCAAGACAGACAGTCAAGTACAAAGTAAGAACTTCAGGCTTATAAGATGGTGCAGAAATAAGATATACAAAGGCAATCTGAAACCAAAGTTCAAGACAAGTAAAACAGGAAAAACAACCAAAAAAGAAAATTAGAACATTTTGAATACAAACCAACAATAAAGACTGATCATCAAAAAGCCGTTATCACCAAGTTAAAGGAGAAGCAATACAAGGAAACTTCTTTGGTTCATAGCCAACTTCCTACGCGGTGTCCAAAACAGAATACAGTTAACAATTATCCATACTCTCCAGTCTTCATCAATCATATCCTACCATATAAAAAAAATTAGCAATCCAAACTTCAGGGGACAAAGAGCTCATTTGGATGTGCTTTTAAAATGATTGAAAGCGCTTTTGGTAAAAATGTTTTAGAACCAATCCTTAGAAAAAATGCAAGTAAATCCTGAAAAATCACTTAAAGTGCTCCTTGGAAGAAGCACATAATTGGTGCTTCTTGCAAAAAGCATTTTTAAGTGCTTTTGGAACCCAAAAATATTTTCTCAAAAAGCGTTTTTCAGTCATTTTAAAAGCACATCCAAACGAGCCCAAAGAAAGGAGGATAAAGAGATCAAGACAAGCAAATAGGGAATGAGAAAACAGAAAAGAAAGGAAGATTGTACAACATGATAAAAGCCCAAATCACAAAGTAAAAGAGAAAAAATGACAAAAGACATTTCCCCCTAAAATCCAGGAAATTTGAGCCTGTTGATTCCCAAAACAAATTCTATCCCAGAATCTCTCCATTTCCTCACCCTAAATGTTTCTTTTTCGGAGAAAAGAAATAATTTTATTGCAACAAAGACTATAAAACAATAAAATAAAATGCAGTCAAGAGGACCACTAAAGGAAAATAGAAACGCATGAGGGAAACAAACCCCTCCTAAAATCTGAAAAAAATAGCAGGCCCACAACATCATGGACTCCCTGCCAAATTAGTAGAGAAAGGAATAAGTTTAAATTCATTAGAAGACAGAAGCCTAGAGAACAGACCAAAACTGGACCTTATCCCATAGCTCCTCAGCCCCCACACCAACATAGCCTTTAAAAGCTCTTTATTTCTTTCCGTCCAGACCACACAAATCACAGCAAGAACTAAACACCCCCATATAACTCTTGCCTTCTTGCCCCTACTAAAACTCAATAAAAGACAGCAAGGAGAGAAATTCCTCCATTTCACCTTCGTTCAGATTCGTACCCCTAATATTTTCAGAACCCTATTACTTCTCAAAAACACGTGCACAATTTAGATATCACCAAATACACACTAGCTCCAAACAGTTTGTGTGCCAAGCTTTAATGAAAGCATACAACGAGGAATAGATAATCTATACTTCCAGGTTCTTTTTGCACATGATGCATCAATGCTGGGCTAGACTAGGCATCCCTTGAATAATATCACAAGTATTGGCTCCACTTTGAGAAATAATCCAGGCCTATAAGATGAAATTGGGGACTGGACGAATATGACATGACAGTATGTTTAACTAGCTGGTGATTTGTATTGGAATCCTTAAACTATGCGAGACCCATTGCTCAGTTAAGCTCAGTTTATGCATCAGAACATATCATCAAGATATAATTGGAATCTGATAGTCCTAGCACTAGAAAAGAAAAAGGCCTCGGAGTACTGATCCAACTTAGAGAGTAACATAAACTATTGCTGATTCAACATGGCCCCACTGAACATGAATAGAATATGTTCTCCTGGTCACCAGGTGACCAAGGAATGCATGGCCACTAACCCTTAGATTTGATATCGAAGCTTGAGAATTAAACATGAAAAGCAGCACCAATTATTCTCTGCCCCTGATATCAAATCCAAAGGTGGGTAACCATAAATCCTTAGTAAGAGCGGGATTCGAACATGAATTGGGTCACACAAAAATCAACCTAATAGTCGCTAACTGGCAAAATGACGATGATTATTTTTACTGGACTTCAACACGCAGGCAAGAAAAGCATTCAACAAATGTAATTGATTAGAAATCAGGACAAAATGACCAGTTATGCCCAGCAATTACTGGACTCTAACTGGCACCTGTATCTTTACTTGCTCCATATTTTCTAATTATATTTGTTCGAAACTATAGCATTACTGAAATAGACAATCTTCAGTCATGACAATACTTATTTTGTTTGCGTATCGATGAGTAAGCCATACTAGTTAATTGCTGGAACTCACTTGTATGTGCCTAACAAATGATTATTTCATTTTACCATTTTATCTTTTTGATAAATCATGTCCGTAATGAATGTCATACGAAATAAAAGATATTAATGAAACAATAAAAGGAAAGAATTTTAACCTTTTTCAGCAAGTCAACATCATCTGTCCTAGTCTTTTTTTCATATCCAGGTGGAGGAAATGGAAAGCAGCGCGACATTGCATAAAGCCTGACAGTACCAAAAACCAGTATCTTCCAATGAACAAAAAATTAGTTTCCAGTAGCACTGTTCCAGAAAGGGAACGAACCAGCAACTATGCTCCTGTCCATGCACCATGTCCCCGCATTCATTCCCAGTATCAAAAATCCGCCATTAGCTTCTCAGTCACTTCAACCAGTCCTTTAATCCTTTTCACACAGATGTGCCGGCACGTCAATGAGATATCACACCAAATTCACTTGAAAAATCAAGGCTCAGCACAAGCACGACCTCAATGTAAACAACTGCAACACAAATCCGAACTAACTACTCCAAAAGCTTTTCTGCCAAGAATGTTGTTCAAACTAAGTTAACCAGAATGGTTTTTTGAGAAACAAAAAACAGTCCACCACAACCTAATCGTCTGTGTTGCCTTATGGGCCAATACAATATATCCAATATATCAGCTACCCCTTATTACCAAATACCAAAACGAAATTGATTCCCAGCTGAAGATCAAGCATGTAAAAGCAGCAAAAACCCAGAAGCCCTTTGCTCCAAAATAACGATTCGGCAAGTCTCTGATCACTCCTGTACCCAATTCAATATGTGCAATCTTCTTCCATGCTTAGAAAAACAACACTTTCCATAATTCTATGCAATCTCAGAGTTTATGTACTCACCCAGCACTGCCAAATCCACAATTCCATTCCCCGAAAGATCGGAGCTTATGCTCATTCGATGCAGGGCCGCGATGATCCCAATACTACTCAGTTCCTTGCACTGATCAAACCCTAATTGGTCCAAAACTGCAGAATTGGAGCAGTACCCAGTTGCGATCCAACAAAAGCCTAAAAAACCCACCAAGAAAGGAAACACCCACTACCAAAAACCCTAATCCCACTCCTCAAACAAAAATTAAGGGCAAAAATTCAAAACTTGAAGAAAAAGAAAAAAGAAAAGAGAATCGACCCACTTTACAATTTCAATTTTTATTTCGTGGATATCGATCAAAAGGGTAAAAGAGAGTGGATTCAAAGCGTCAATGAGAAAATCTGCGAAATCTGAATTATGGGTATTTGATAAATAACTGGTGAGATTACCTCGTCCACTACAAAGTGGGCAATGCAGAATGAAAGAGGAGATCTCTCTCTGTCTTTCTCTGATAGAACCCAAATCTTAACCCTAGCTCAACCTTAACTCTTACACATGGAAGAGAGGGAAGGAAGGAAGAAGGAGGCAGAGCTCCAATATATTTTTGTATTGATTTCTACTCTGTAAATTTGATATGTTCTGTTTTCTGGGAGCTGCCCTCCTTTTATGACTCCGCACCTTAAAATGCCAGCTGGCATTTTTGACAGTGGGAGCATTTTTACTCGGCATTATAAACTATAGTTTATGCTCATCATACACCTAATTAAATAACACGTATGTGTCATCTGATTAGGTGTATGGTGAGCATTCATCATAGTTTATGGTAGGGTTGGGCATTTAAAAAAAAAAAACCTACTTAACCATCCAAACCGCACCGACCTTAATTGATTCCCAAAATTCTTAGGGTACGGTTAACCGAACCGACCCTCATATATTTAATTTTATTTTTTAATCATAATTAATACGTGTAGTAATATAAATTGTTACTTATTTATGAGTTATCGTATTTCCACCACATGAAAACAAAACCTATTTAGTTTAAGAGTCCCTTTGGAGAAGAACAATGGGCACCATTTGGAGAATGAGCAGATGTTGCTTTGGTGCTCTCCTTGGGCTGCTTCATTTGTGCTTTCCTTTAAGCAATCACTCGTATTGGTGTTACGTTCCGTAGCTTCTGGAAGATAAATTTATTATGTATTTTCGTATTCACGCAAATCGAGAACCAACTCAAACCAACCCCCCCACTTTCGGTTCAACGACTTAATCAGTTTTAAACCAACTCGTCGGTTTGGTTTCTTTGGCCCAAAACCGTCCCAAACCAACCCACGCCCACCCCTAGTTTATGATGGTGAGCAATAATGCTTCCCTTAATAATGCTTAATAACAAAACTAAAGCATAGGCAATTGAGTCATATTTGGGTTCAAACAGTATTCCCCCCTTGAAAATTAGCCTTGTCCTCAAGACTTCAAGAGGAATTGTAGAAACTTGGCCTTGTAATCATCATAGTCCTTGCCCTGTAGCAATCTGATCAAAGCACAATAAATTGGCTTTGATGATTGGTTTATTACTTAAACGTTGATAAACGTGCTTATTTTTATTAGTGACATATTATTTAGTTTGCAAATTTAGTCTTCCTAGCGTTACTTCATCTTTAATCTTAGAAACTCATTGTCCCAATATTAGTGCAACTTTCAGATGGATGAGACGCATACTTGGATAATCATTTGAGAGCACAAGGAATAATGCGTTATTAAACCAATCTTTTAGAAGCACCATAAGCAACATCTTTTAGAAGCAACTCTGGAGTTATGTCCGCCACTGAAGTTGGGCAACCATTAGGGATGGGCAAATACTCACCGGGTATGGTTAACCGTGGTTAACTGTCCATTTAATATTAATGCTAGTGAAAATTCTGCCTGATGAATTTCTTATATGATTACCCCAACCTTCTTCTAACAAATCTGGGTGGGAAAATGGGGCCTCCATTATTTGGAAAAGTGGAAGCATTTTAGTGAAACTCGTTTATGTCTTGCTCAAGTTCCAAATATGCCCTTTTCGAACTTGGCATTATCATATTTCTGTGTTAGAAAACAATGCTCCGTCTCTGAAACTAATCATTGAGATGAAACTTTCATGAGTATCGATGGAAGTAAACAAAAAATCTAAGGATCCAATATTCGGACAGTATATGTGTGTGTGGTGATGAACCAGCCAGATGAGTCTTTCGATAAAAAATATGTTAAACCTCTTTCTACAAAGGTTGCTTCGTAAAATACGGAAGTGCATGCTAAATGTACTTATAAATGGTTAAATAATGTGTAGACGGGTAAAAAAAAGGTAAATGAGTAAAAAACGGTAAACGGGTATGCGGTTACAGTAAAATAGGTATGCGGTTATCGGTATGGTTAACCGTTTATAAACGATTATGAATATGGGTATGACCGTTTATACAATTACCCAACAGGTAAACGGTTATACGGTTATGGGAAAATAACTGTGGTTACCCCCCCCCCCGTCATAACCTTTGCCCATCCCTGCCAACCATTCATTGCCTCTTTAAGGATGGAAACCACAACAGGAGCTAGAAGCTGGCTTCTTACTAATATGTTGCACAAGAATACTATTCGGGTGCATTTGTTGCATCAAACTATCTCGGACTGGACTAGCTTTAAGGATTAAGCTGGATTAACTTAATGAAGCGTTTCATGCAGTGTAACCCCATTTTCATTCACCCCCATTTTCAAACTCTTAATCACCAATTTACTCTCTATGGCACTAGCAGCACCACCATGCTTCTGAATATGTGGCTCAATAAGGCATGCACTCTCAAACAATTTCAGAGGACTTCCTTGAGGTAAGGGGTCTCTGCAATCAGTGACTTCTTCAAATTAAGCGGCAAGGCATCAAATAAATTGGCATCATCAACACAATATTGTTTCATCTCTGCCAAACATAACAACTCCGTGACCATGAAGCTATGATCTTCAAACAAAATGGCCCAAATCTCCCAAAAATTAGAGGAAGAAGGGTAATTTGGAAGGCACTCCCATAAGAACCTATATTAGGAAAGTGAGAGCAACTTATCACTACAGAGGTGGATTGTCTGCCCTCCCATTTCCATACTCTTCCCATCCCCTCCTGTTTTGTGTGGTCATGGTTGAGCCACGTCAACCTTTTATATTCCTATTACTTTATGTTTTATTATTTTTATAAAAAAAATCAATATAAAATGTTGACGTGGCTTAACCGTGACCACACAAACAGGAGGGGATGGGAAGAATATGGAAATGGGAGGGCAGACAATCTACCTCCTATCACTACTAGCTAATCAATTGACACATGTTATTTCACATAATTCTAGTTGACTCTCACATTAAATGTTACTTTTTCAATTAAAAAAAAAAGTTAACCAAAGTTAAGTGGAAGCACATTTGTCAATTGATTAGGTATATGGTGAGCATCCACCATATTTTATGGTGGTGAGCAAATGCTCTCGTTATAAACTCTCTAAAGTGAAATTAAGAACCATCACTAATACTATAATCTAGTAATATTGCTCTCTATTTGGAGAAATTTGTTGGTGTTCCACGAACACGGCCTATTATGTAAGTGTCATTACACAATCAATTGAATTTTTTTTCACTTGGTATATCAGACCGTTTTCTCGGCACACTAAAAAGTGATTGTCAAAGACTCAAGCAACATAAGCAAACTTTTCGGTCATTGAACACAATTAGTCATTTTAACTATTGTAAGTATAAGATCTTAATTCGTTTTCCTTGAATAACGAGTACAATTGTAATTTATGGCCGACCCATTATGCGAGTTATTAATCACAATCTCCACCCTCCACCAAAAACATGAAACCAATACAAATATATGGAAACACTGAATGGGGGAAGAACAATAATGAGAGGCCAAACGAATTATGCAACTACTTTCCCCTTTCCTTCTTCTATCTTACAATTTACGTAAATAGGAGCTGTTCTATGTTACAAATCAAAATTGTGGTGGAGTTGCAAATAATACCACATCTAGTTTTCTCTTAAATGCTCAATTAGGATGAGCTTCTCAGCTCCTAACCAAATGACAACAAAAAATGCAAAAGCCTTTTATGTATCTATCTCCCTTTCTACGCAACCCCTTACGCTTCGTCGCGTTTATGAAACTTTCCGTTTTGAATGAATTAGCTGTTGGGGAAAACCGCCCCTTGAATCCAAATTGCCAGCCCCATCCCGGAGCATGCCATGACGTGTTGTGTGTGTCCCGCGACGTGTTGAGTGTGACATTTGTGTTTGAGACGTGTTGGAGTCATGACCACTGCAACACTGCAATCACATTAATGCAGAAACTCAAAACTGTCAAAGGTGCCCAGACGCCTTTGCAGCTTCGATCTAGTGTGGTCCTATCAACTATCAACGGATTGCCCGAACCAGAGTTGCGAGGTGAAACATGCCCATTTCAGTTGTTCAGTATGGAATGACATACGGCAGGGCATGAACATCAGCTGACTCTATCCGTAGAACCTCTGACCATACCTCAGGTGTCTCTGCAACCCGTGAAGATTCCACCAGGGGTCTCTTTGATTGGGCATCACTGCACCCAAACAACCAATCTTGATCGTCATGATCAGGCACTTCGTCCAATTTCGGAACCATATAAACATGGCTTAGATATCTGGAATCCGGATGGGGTGGTCTCATGCATGCTTCAGCAACAGGAACAGCCTGTGTAGCTGTAGATGTCGGCTTTGCAGTGGAGACAGCCAATGACGGAGCTTCAACAATGCCATTTATCTTGCAGTCCTTAACGTCCACCTTAAGGTTATTTGCCGCACCCAGCCTATCTGACACATATGGGATGGAAGTTTGGGAAGGTTCCAGTGTGCTTCCATTTACAGGCAATGAATGAGAGGAAGAGGAAGGCCTCGACAGTTTACTGGGCCTAATATCATTGGCTGTAAGATCAGAAAAGGAAGCATCATTAGACGGCAAAAAATTAAAATTACCAAAGTTTGAACCTGCTTGACAAAATTGATTCAAGAGCACTGCCAATTGACTGATACCAAACTGAAAAACATTAATATTTGGAATCAAAGGAAACAGAGGATAGCAGAATCCAACTTTAGTTCAAAAAAGTGCACCTACAACCTCCCTCGGTTGTACGCAAAAAGAGGCCAACTTGTGTTAGACAACTACATAGCATGATTGGGCTCCAACGATGATACTTAGCGTCATAAAAAAGAACTCACCATGCACAACTCCATTCGTCTGTATGTCCCTTCTTTTCTTCAGATTTCCATCACTGCCAGCACTTTTGTTGCTGTCCTTCAGAAGTTGGGAGGTTACAACGCTATGGGAATCTATGTGATCCTCTTTATCGCTCTTTCTTAATTTATCTGGCTCTGCATTCTTAGTTTCATTTTTCTCCTTTGTTTTCTCTTCCTTTTTCTTCTCTTTATCTGGCTCTCCATTCTTAGATTCAATTTTCTCTTTTGCTTTCGCTTCCTTTTTCTTCTGTTTATCTTTGTCCTTGTCTTTCCCTTGTTTTTTCTTCTCTCTATCTTTGTCCTTGCGTTTTTCACCTCGTTTATCATCACCTTCCTTCTCTTTGGCCTTTTCTTTT